ACAGACAGACAGACAGACAGACAGACAGCCAGGCAGGCAGGCAGGCAGGCAGGCAGGCAGGCAGACAGGCAGGCAGGCAGGCAGACAGACAGACAGACAGACAGACAGACACACACATCAAAGTCAGCGCGACCACGCGACCTAAAAAGTTGTAACGCATTTCTTCATCTCTGCCACAATGTCATGTCTCCGCCGATGGTTCCAAAACCGAGGGCTGAGGAAGTGGTGCCGAGCCGGTGCGAGAATGAAAGACTTGGTGTGATAAGCTGCTACTGGTCCGCAGCAGTTCCGCCTCGTCGCATCTCAGGTTGGCGATTTACCGCAAACGTCAGGGGGAGTTAGTTGGAGCTGCTGGTAATTACGCAGCCAACGCCATTTCCGCTCTGTGACTTTCGACTTCGACACTCTAGATAACAAACCACGACAAACATAGGATATGCTCTTGTTCCGCGGCCTGGAACCATCGGGATCCGGCCGGCCAGCGCTTCTTTTCTCTTGAGTGCTTAGCCTCTGAGGGATTAGAACAGCCCCTACGGTCTGTTCCTTCCACATAGAGCTCTTGACAAATGCAGGGTTCGCCCGCCAAGGCTCGACGTGGGCAAGCTGCCGGTTCTGTACAATCATGGCCGGCCGAGAAAACAGAGATCCTCACGACTAAGCAGCACCGTCACGAGTGCCTGCACATGCAAGCCCTGCATGAGGCTTTGGACAACGTTGTGTGCGCAACGGGTCATGATTCACTCGCTGCACCTGCGGAAGAAGGTATTGTCATGCCACGCACACAGCAAACCAAAAGGACGTTCTGGGAAAGTAGGTTTGCAAGAACGGGACGCACTGAGCTTTCAGCTGTTCACTTTGAGTTCCCCGCTTGTTGTGCTGACACAGTCTTGCAGTAAGCCCGGCTGCCTCGAGCACCACTCGATTCTTGGGCGACCTGGCTCAGGGATTGTGGCGCTTGCAGCAGTGGAAGACACATTAATGCTTACCAGCGTCAGCATGCCGATGCTTTGCATATATAGATGCGGCATTACCAGTTACGACTTACCCTTCTCGATCCGGACCCCATCGGCCCAGATCGTACCCTGAGTGTAGTCACAGCCTTGGTATTGTGAGCTTAAGCACTTCTCGGATCTGGATCTGCAGTTTAGTCCACGACTACTTTGCGCGCCAATACATGCGTTCACGCGTCGTAGCGATCGTCACACAGTCTTTTCGAGAAGCAGTATGAAGCATCGCTTGAATTGGAGTCCTGGCGCGCTCTAGGGATGCGCTAATGAAAGGCACAATAGCGATGGTAACATTTCCATCGCAGCGCTATCCCCAAACTTGTGTAAACAACAAGCATCAGGCAGCAGCCATCGTAACAGCATAGCTATCTATCTCAATTTCTCACCCGAACACAGATCGCCATAACCAGAGCAAAGGAGCAGCGTCTGAGCAGCGACACTGCATATCTCAGAGATTGAAGCAGGCATTCCGGAGCCAATATCCAACTGAACGTGGCTAACAGCAGCATAGTAGGACGTCTGCCTTTCCCAACCGCTTACAAGGCAAAACAGCCTGCAGGTCTTGCAGCCAGCACAAGCTGTACGTAATACAACGACGCTCGGTTCATCGGTTGATTGCGCTCAGCCAACGCCGACACTAGATGCGAGACTAGGTCCTGCAGCTACCACCAGAAGCGTGCGGCGTGAAAGAATGCTAAAATACACGATCTGGGACTTGCAGATGACGTGAAGACACACCACCCTGGGACAACTTCACGTGGCGATTGCATGTTGAGCTCTCCTGTAAAGGTCCCTACTTCTATGGCCTAAGTCCCTCGCGCAGGCAGGATGTCCAGATTCGGGCTCCCCAAAGCTGTGGTTTGGGGTTGAGAAAGGACCCTGCTACGGTGGAGTAGCGGTAGGAGCCCCTCCCCCCCTGCCTGGCTCGGCTCCGCCTCCGGTTCCTCCGCCGGCTCCCGGGCCTTAGCGGCAGCGCCGCCGCTGCCGGCAGAGGCGTCGTCAAACTGGTGGTACTCCTCGAGGCACGGAGCAATCCCTACACTAGGGCCTAGGGCTCTTGAGGCAGTCTTGCCAAGATCCTCCCTGCAGGGCCTGTGTTCTCAGAAAGCCCATATTCATATTCGAAGGCTTGACTGACAGCCTGTCCTCGCGCACCATCTCGCCCCCCTTCACCGGGTCAAAGCGAGCCTGGCGATGCGAAGGCAATTCAATCTTGAGGGGAGCAGCACGAAAGCTGCGAATTCGGGTCCTCCTTTCGGACATGGGTTGGGGAAGCACACCCAAAGAGTGAACGTTGAAACCCACTGCTTGCCTGTTCTGGCATTTCGATGTAGCCCTGGAAGACCCTGCCCGGCGCCTTGTAGTAGGAGCCGTTCGCGCATACGATGATGACCTGAATTTCAACGTTTGAGGAATTCACTGGAAAGAAAATCATGAGCATTTACAAAAGCACACATAGGCGCCATGCTCATAGGACGAGAGTCGAGTCAGAGTCAAAGGACGGACGTAGCAGCTTCTCTTGGAAAGACCGCAGCGAGACTTCAATGCTCAATCGAAGTAGACAATTATCACAAGCACCGTGTCTTCCTGATTCTCAACAGAACAGCATGGAGACAAGGCTTCAAACCAAGGGCCGCACTGTGTGCGGATCAACACCGAATGCTGCAATGTAGCGGTAGTCGTGGACGCGAAACCTAGCCATCGAAAGGTTACACACAATGTCAGAAGGTGGGGATCCCTGGCAGACTCGGGGGAAAACACCTAGGGCAGTTACAAATGCAAAGCTTGGTATCACACGAGTCGACTCGCGAAACTCAGTGCCAGACTGCGCCAGACTCCACTCCGAGGAGAAATAGGCCTGACATGTACATGCAGCCCCGTCTTTGCAGGCGAGTGTCAACAATGAGAAATCACTTGCAATTGATTACACTTGTCAAACCAGCAGGCATCACAGGCAAAACCCGCGACCTGAGAAAGCAGGGCAGGGTGAGGTGAGAGTTCTTGAGGCAATTTCTGCAGACGGACGCTTCTCGATGCCAATGCTGAGGCAGCAGGCCGAAACATGACGAAATAGTAATTTCCTCAGGCTACTCGGGAAATTGGAAGAAAAGCAGCTCAGGCCCCAGCAGTCTCTGCAGGCTGGACTTCGCATTGGAGGTTCCAGCCTCTTCCGACAAAGCTATCCCAGGGACGGACATGGTGACGGATTCAAGACTTCAGCAACACTTTGTGAGCATCACTAGCATCCAAATCACAAGTTTTTTCATGAGCAGCAGCGCCCTAATCACAGTCGATGTCAACACCACCCTCAGCATCCTCCTTACCATGACCTACCGACGAGGCGGAGGAGCGACGAGAGGCCGAGAGGTACGCCCACAACAACAGGAGCATGATCATGAGCAAAAGAACAAACGGGTCCGAAACAGCAACAGAGACACGCACACCCACTTTGGGAAAACCACGAGAATAACAAGTTCCGACTTTGGAAAAGTAGAAGCCGTTCGTCTTCGCTTCCGAGAGGCAAAGCGTCAAATAAATTCCGCCGCTGCCGCTACCTCTCGTCGTCGTTGTCCGTGCGGGTTGTAGCATTTTGGCACTGGTCGTAGCAAAAAGCCATCAACGCCACCGGCACCACCCCAAGCACAGCTTGCTGCGGCATTCAAGTGCTCGTCAAAATGTAGTCGAGCTCGGGCCAATTCCACATAGACTCCATCTTAGCTGTCGAATTCCGGACGCATTGATCCCACTCAACTCCCTGCTGTAGACTCCTCATTACAGGTGTTGCCTGTCGCAGTTTGTTGGTTGGAGAGGCTTGACATAGAGCTGCAGCTGCTGGCAGGCCTCTGCGCTGTAGCCAAAGGCCGCAGAAGTGCCGCCTGTAACACAAGAGCGACCCGCGCCCCACATCGAGCTGGAGACTGAAAACAGATCAGGGCAGGCCTCCTGGCCGCTGAATGGCGAAGATGTGCACCGTTCCCTTGTCCGAGGAGGCGGCCAAATACTCGCCTCACCATTCGAGCCAGCGACGGGAGAGTGAGCATCTGGAACATTTTTGATTTGTGACTGCCAGCGGTTGCGCACGATTGGATGTTGACCTCAGGCGGGCTGTCCGCATCTTACCTCTTAAGACACAAGACCCCACCCTCTGATAGTGCTGCGAGAGCAGGGGTGTCAGCGAAACCTGAGGCGGATGGAATTGAGCTGCGACCGAAGTTACTCAAGCGGATGGAACAGGCTTCCTTTGTCAAGCAAGCCCCAGCCCCATCGCTCTGCAAAGTCCAAAGATAGCAGAAACAGAACAGGCACAGGTGGCCCAGCCTGACGGAGAGAAGGTGAGCGAGTGGATCTGCAAACAAGATGTAGTTGGGGCTGTGAAACGGCATGAGTCGTCTGCTTGAGAAGGCATTCTATGAGAGGCTAGGATATTGGCCGGTTGAAAACTAAGTGTAATGTACACCAAATTGTCCCCTGAGACGACTCAGCTTCCTGTATAGTACGTTCGCCAGTGTGCAGGAGGTGAGTTCTAGCACAGCTTTGAACTTGTTGAGATCGCTCTGATTCCGGAAGTGCGAGACTCAGAAGTAGATCACTTTTGATAGCAGAGGCTCATTGCAAACGCTTTCCTCACATACGATATGTTTGGGCAATGGCTGGAGCATCGAAACACTCCCGACAGCACTACCCCGCCTCTGCTCTGTCCAAGCCTCTTCGCAGTTCCTTCGGCCGATGCTTCTATGATCTTTTCATGCTCCGCTAAGCCAGTGCTCAGTGCTCAGTGGAGTGATTTACCTGACGATGTGGCCTTTGCGGCATCACGGGACAAGTCTTGATGCAAAGCTTTGAGAGACTGCCACCTTCAGAGCAATCTGCCAGACTCGCCTTCGGAGCTGAATGCCCAGTAGACCCAGCCCGACCCTTTCTCTGGGAGGCACTGTGCCTGCGCCAAACCGTCGCGCTGCAACTCCTTCGATGGAAGGGCCAGTCAGGCCAAGAGCAGATAAAGATCCTCCCGCAACAGCTGAATCCTTGCACTAGCAGCCTGAGAGCTGAGAATCTCAGAGGCTGTTGTGAAACTGGCTAGCTTGAGGACATTTCGCGCGGTTTGGAAGAAGACTGAAAATTCTAAATTTTTTAAAGGCTGAGCCGGCGGCATGCACCCGAACAATCGTTCCCTTCTCTGATGCCGTCGCAATGAGGGAGCCTGGCGGAGCGGCAGCAGCAGAAAGAGGATTGCAGAGTGTCACCTTGAAGCGCATTAAGCGAGCAGGCTCGGGCAGCTTGCATCCAACGCTATGGCGGCAATGGGCGAGTCCTCAGGAGGTCTCGGACCCTGTCAGTCCGAAACAGCTTGGTATGATCAGATTACTGGAAACCCAGCAACCTCACGGCATGGGGCTCGCTTGGCTTTGGGCTAAGAGTTGAGACCTTGGCAAGGTCTGCTGGTTTTGCGGAGTGTGGATGCCCGGGCTCCAAATCAAGCCTACTGAGGTCGGTGAGCATTCAAGCGCCATGGTAGGCAAACTTATGAAAACCTTGTTGGGAACGAATCGCTGTAGAAGCGAGCCGGGTTCAATTTAGATCAGCGAATCAAGCGCCAAGTCGCGTGAGCAGTCTTGATGATGGTTCGCTCCCTCTCCCCCGGTGCCTGCGCCCAGGCAACAAGCTTTACGACAAGGAAGTCCACGTCATGCCGCAGAAAGAGCAATCATGTCACCAACTCTACCTGCCCCACCTGGGCCTTGAATTCTGTAGACAAGAAGCATGCTGCAGCATGCTGAGTCCAAAGCAGACGGGTCTCCGTAGTTCTCGGGGTAAAACACCACCAGAGCGCTGCCCTGGCAGAAAAGAGTCTCGCGTGTAAAATCGAAACTCTACTTTTCCACAGGCCGCGGCCGATACACTTTACAGCATGGCTTGTGAACAAACTTGCTCAGCTGCTTGATGCACTGCACTCCGCTCTCCAACTTGCACCTGCTGTCTGCCAGGACAGACCAGAACGATGCGATCTCCAGACGAAAGATAGCACAAACCTCGGAAGAGCGAACCAGCCCAGAGATGCCTAGGGCCTAGGGTCTCAGGATGAACTCTAGTGGGCCTTAAGGCCCTGGCCCTTTGGGTTCTCTGTGGTCTCGATCGAGTCCATGAGGCTCAAAGTCTTTAAGCCATATACCCACACCTGAGGCGGTGGCAGAAGGTTCCCGGAGACTCCACGCTAGCACGCTTCCATTTGTCTGAAAGAACCCAGGCCTTTAGCCGTCACACCGGAACTCCCTTCCCTCGTCTTGGAGTCGTACGGTGCTAGGCCCAGTCACTTGCATCTGCTATCGAAATGTCTGGCCTTATTCAGAGTGGCGACAACAACCAGGTCGCGTCGCAGCCTGACGGGTGCTTTGAAAACGGGTGTTCTTCCCGGGAGGCTCCATGCCCTCGCATTTTTCAGAGTCGTGGGAACAGGTGAACTGAAACCTGTCTTCTCTGCCACGCGAATCCCATCCCATATGAACCCTCGAGTTGCCTCAGGGCCTCAGGGAGCCGAAGCGGCTCCTGGGCTCCTGAAAAAGGCCCTTCCCGGCCTCACCGACTTCACCGTCGTTTTGAAGCTGAGCTCAGCCATGACCCGGGTGTGCCGATCATCCCACAGGACGACCTCTCCGGAGGAGACAAGTCTTCAGAGCCTTCGTCGAATGCACAGGCGCCGAAGCGCGACCCCCGGCCTTGTTGGGTTGAAACCGCGGGTTCTTTCCGCCCCCCGAGAAGGCCAAGATGTTCGTCCGAAACTGGCAGAGCTGAGGACAGCAACGTGAGAAATTGCGGGCTCCGAGCATTACAACAGGCACCCCGGAACCAAAGGTCAACAGCGCCTCGCGCATCTCGCACACAGCTTACATCAACCGCTGTTGACTTCATACCATCTTGCTGTGTTGCTCGTGGAAGAAGCTACCCTCTTTGCAGCTGGGGCTAGGGGCTATGTCCGAAATGCACGGAGACAGAGTTTAGGAAGAAGTCAATGGGCCTGGCAAAGAAGGCAGCACTTCAGCACTTTCTGCCGCAAGCAGGGGGCGGCAGTCTCACCGCCACCGGCGCGTTCGTCGAAGCAAGAATCGGCTTCTGCAAATTACAACTTGACATCTTGCTCCAAACCTCAGCAGATCTGGCACAAGCTGGGCGGCAATTTCACTGCCCGGCACGCACATGTCGAAGGCACAACCAATCGGCTACTTCTCATTCTCCAAAGTTGAGCAGATCTGCTGCAAGCTGGGCGGCAGCTTCACCGCCACCGGCACAAATGTCGAAGGCACAGTCGGACAAGAAATTATCTTGTGCTGCGGCATTTCCCGACTTGCCTAAGTGTTTTTTGCACATGTTCACAGCTGCGGTCTTCTCTTCGTCTGTGCAGCGGTTCACAGCTGCCAAACTCAGATGTGCAGCTGCAGCTTGCAGCGATGCCAAGTAGGTTGCAGCTGTCTCACTTCCACCCAAGTTACTCCAGCTTGAGTGCTCTGCAAATTCCATGTCTGAGGTCGCAAGGCTCACTGCTCTGCCTTTCTTAGAACCCGTCACGAGAGAAGAGTGGCCGGTAAGAGCCAGTTCTCCCTTGACGAAGCGATTGTGCATCACACTCGACATTTTCAGCTTGGCTGCGAGGTGATTCCCTGCCCTGCATGTTACCCATAGCTGCGCAACTTTTGTCAATCCGCTCCGCGTGCCCATAAACAGCTGCACGCTGTGCAGGAAAGTGGCTGGAGCTCCTTTCGCAGACTTCGTAACCTTGAAAGCACCAAAGATGGCCCCGTCAGCATCCACCAGATTCTGGAAGAAGCCTGCATCATCCTTCTTCAATTTCAAGGTTTGCCAGCTGTCAAGCTCCGTTTTGGTCTTCCAGGCGCAGTCCTCAGATGTGAATTCCAATGCATGCCGCAGCTCTGTGACCCCAGAGTGGTCAACCAACAGAATTCCTTTTGCCCAGGACCCTTGACCTGCGTAGTTGGCATAGATTCGGAAATCCAGAGGAGTTCTTTTCATGAGGCCCTTCGGTGAAGGAACTTCGGCATCCAAACCAGAAAAGCCCCAGAGTAGAAAGTTCCCTTGAGCTCGCACCATATAGTTGCGTCCATCCAAAGTGGAGATGTGTGGATCGCCATGCATGCCACCCCCGGTGGCACACGAGGAGCAGTCAGGCGGATCTGCCAAGCCTCGGTCGCAGAAAGCCGATGGAGTTCCATCGCTCTTGCAGATGTTCTCGCCACATGGGTCTGCCGTCGAAGGTTCATTGCAAGTCAAGGTCCCCACCAGACTGCTGCATCCAGGACCACTGCAGAAGCAGGAGTTGCCACTTGAGTCGTCTTGGTTGACGGCCATGCCGCCGCAACTAATACTGTCTTCGCACCGGATGTGGATACATGATGACCCACGCAATGAGATCACTGAACTGTTGCAAGTGTTTCGGGCACATTGCAGCTCTGCTTTGCCAGCATTGAAGGACATCTGGCTCTCTTCGCAGGGCTGTGCGAAGGGTTCTCTGGGACTACCTGCATCGAGGCACTGAACGCAGTGAGTCCCACCCCCGGCGAAGCTAAAGTTGCCTCGCCGACATGCGACGGGGCGGGAACAGAACAAGTCCTTGGAGAGGAACATGTTGGCCTCTTCGCAGGCGTTGAAACTGCGACAGGCTGCTGAGCGGGCTCCAGAGATGATAGCTCCATTACTGCAGGATCTGATGCCTCGGCAACAAACGTCCTGGTCACAGTTCGGATTCCCTTTGACGAGGCGGAACTCGTTGGGTAAAACAAGGCGTTCATCGTTCCGGCACGCTTGGTTCCCATCGCAGCACAAAGCCGAGAAGTCTCTGAGTCGGAAGCCGAAGCAGGCGGAGGGTCCCGTACAGTTCAAATAATCATTCGGATTCTGAAAAGAGTAGGAATTGATGTTGTTCCGTTCGATGGTGCAGGTTGCAGCCTCGTTGATCGGGGGCGGGTCGTTGAAACAGTAGAGAAATCCACTGGGAAAGCCGTTGCTGTCGTTCGTCGGGATCTTCATCCCGTCTTCTGAAGGCTCACAGCGCAGGCATTCGCCGTCTCCAATACAATCCCCGGAGTTAAGGACACTCAGAGGGCAGCGGGGCCCCTGACCATCTTTGGTTTTCTGGTGTTGAAGATGCCCGATCTCATCTGTTTCGCACTCAGGATCACCAAGACTTGCATATGTACCAACCAAAAGACCAACAACGGCCGCTCTCCAAATCACAAACATGGCACTTGCTGGCGGACCTTTGCCACCGGTGAATTCAGCATCTGCAATGGCTTCACTGCTCTCAAGAGAGCCGAAAGTGCAGCAAACCCGACTGGCACTGAAGTGCATCTGAAGAGCTAAGGCTAAACTCGGCAAACAGTGCAGGCAAGCCAACAAGTGCGCCAGGCCACCAGCATACAAACGACTCCCAAGCCGCTGCCATCCTGCGTGTAGCTTGGCATGCTGGCGCAGGGCTCCAAGATGGCTCCATGACACACTCGGTATACTGATACGAGGAAGTTGAGAACTCACCTCCGAGGCTCCTCGAAATCTCTTCTGAAAGTGAGGTGGAAAGGGTCCTGGAAAGTGCGGGTGCAGTGGCTGCCAGTCCATGATCAGGGTGAGCATCTTCAGTTCAATTTACGACGTGATGCTCGAATCAGGAGACGTTCCAAGGTCGTAGGGAGGGAAGGAGCGCGCTGGTGTTCTTGGCAGCAGCATGGATACATCAGGCCCTGGCCGCGCTGTAGACACGGAATCCGCTCTCGGTCCCGCAGACGAAGCAGGTGAAATCCTCTCAACCCAACCAGTGTTGCGGCTGAAAGACAGTCAAATCACAGTATTCTGGTCCATGCGCTGAAGGCAGGCAAGTATCAGAAGAGCACTACAGAGACGCTGGGTCCGAATTCATTTGACACTCTTACGCAACACGGGGATTGGGCGACAGCACTCTGTGACTCCCGGTAGCACTGGCCTGGTTAAAGCTCACGTAAAGGATCTCATTGACCTAAGCCGATCAGGCAGAGGCCCCGGTCAACCATCCGACAAGCCTAGGATTGTATCAACCTGGATGCCTGAAGTCTCTGTTCCTTAGATTCGCCTTAGACGAGATCAGATCCGAGCGGCTGGGTTGGCTTGCAAGTCCATCGACATGTCGCTGCATGGGGAAGCCTGAAGGCCCAAAAAGCTCAAGGGACACTGCGACACATTGCGACACACCGACCATTCTCTTGCAAGCAACTTGCTTCTCAGCCTCCTGTGCTTGTGATCTCCCACGTCCTGCCTCAACCAAGCCGGAAGATCGCTTGTCCCAGCCGCAAGGAATTCTCCGAGGGTCTTACGGACGGTGAAACCTGGGGTGTGGGGGGGGGGCGGTGGGGGGCATCTGAGTGCGAGGCTATGTACGTTTACATCTTTATGACATACAAAACATATATAGTGATTCGGCATTAGCGACGATGCTATGCAACCCGTTCAGGCAGTGCGCTTTGTGTCTTGAAGTGCTCTGCAGTCTGGCTTCACACGCTTTGGCCTTCCAACGTGAAACAAGGCTGATGAGGCTTTGTCGGCCGTCTGCCCAAGAGCGAGTCGCCTGGAACTGAGCAAAACGGCTGCTGCGACTACGCCTACGCCATCTGAAACAGCGGTCGGCGGTCACGGGACATCCTGAATGAAGGTCTGTGCCTGGAGCCTGTCACCAGCATGAGGCCTCAGGACAAAGCATGTGCTTCATCAGCCAGGACTTCCAAGAGCCAATTTCTTGGCATGACTCACCCGCATCTGAATTATTTTGCCGGCAAAGGGCAGCGAACGTTTCGACATGTGAAACTCCCGTGCTAGCTCGGCCGCGTGGCCAAAGCTGGCAGAGGTTGCAGAAGCGAATACGGTGCTACGCCTGAAAGGTTTTTGAACCCATGATTTGAGCCACCTTCCTTGCACAAATAACTGAAGTACTGACGCAGCGTCGAACTGGGGTGCCATCTGTTCATCAGAACTGCTTCCTGATACATGCTTTTGTTACTCGATGCTGTGCGGCCCAGGCCGTGCCGCTGGCATTATCCTGGGCCCTTTCGGTGCACTGCTGGCTTCACCTGCACCAGCGATTTCCATGGCACGTGCAGAATCAGTGCCCGACTGCTTCACTGCTGATTCTCACAGTATGATAAAGACACTATGTTTGTCTTTGATGCAATCCAAACTCGAGGGGGGGCTGTCTGCCTTGCCCAGAGTCCAGAAGTGGGGCAGCCTCCACGTTCACCTGCCGGGTTCTGACCGTTGGACATCGATGTTCAGCTTAGCTTGAAGCTCCCAGGACGAGCTGTTCTAGGTGCCAGGCCCGGGTTTGAGGATAGCCGAACTTTCCCGGCCAAAATCCTGCATAACCTGGCAGAAAGGCGTCAAAAAGAGACCAGGAGAGCGACAGCTGAAGGGAGAAATAGAGACAGAGAGAGAGAGAGAGAGAGACAGAGCCGGGTTTTCTTTCCAGCAGTAGGAGACCACACTTAATTAGATAAATCCTCCAGTCTGACTGCAAAGCCGTTCTCAAGGCGCTCGAACTGGAGCCAATTTGAGGCATACCCGACAGTTGCCCTGTTCGAGCTGAGCACTAGCTTAACTTGGACCTGAAAGCATTTTCGGTCTTGACGAGATTTGCCACATCCTGGCAAAGCATGCAGGAGTTTCGAAACTCCGGCGTCGTGTAGTTCTCAACGTAGATGGGCTCCTGGCTGAATGGAGACAGGCCATAGCGTGCCAGAGGCGATGCTGCAGAAAGCTACGATTCTCTGCAGAGAAGTTCAAGTGCTTGGAGAGGAACGGCAGTGCAGCAGCCCACCCTTTCCGCAGCAAGTTTTTGCTTCAGGCGCCGAATCATGCAAACGACCAACCCAAGCTGACAACTGAAACAGTGCTCACCTGGTACTTGCGCCGGTCGAGATGCTCACGGCGAAACTTGTACTGGAATCGATAATGGTCCAAGTAGAACATGGTCCGCCTCCCGACTATCCGGTCTTGCGGCACGCTAAATCACAATCTGGCAGCACCTCGATGAGTAACATGTATGAGAATTGAGACGGCCTCTTCTGAAGAATCAAGTTCCATGCCAGATTTGGAACGGCAGTGTTTAGCTAGGTGTGGGTCCTTTTCTCCAGCATGGTTCTTCCCTGCCTCCGTCTTGCGAAGTACTGGGTGATCCTCTGGCAGAAAGAGAATAGCAGAGGAACCGTCGCTGCGGAGTTTACGGCTTGAAGCCTTAGATGCTAGCCCTCAGTTATTGGGAGCCTCGATAACTCGATAAGCGTAAGCGAGGAATGATCACGTAAGGTGTCGCGCCAACGAACAACAACATCCTTTTATTCTGGATTAAGCCCCCCCCTCGACCCTCAGCCCTCTACATCAGAGATCATCAGAGAAGAGTTAAGCAGTAGCGACAGGCGGACAAGTGCGCAACTTTCCGAGACTAGGCGGGTGTACTCTCTGAGGTTCCAGCCGCTTCTTGGGGACAACCGGCATCGCTTCTGCTTCCGGAATTAACGCGAACGCAACATTCTGGCAAAAGTCTTGCAACTACCTGTGAGAATGTGCAAGTCAGCATTAAAGGCATAAAGCTTTCTTCCAGTATCAGCATAAGAGGGCTCTCTCACTAGACTGCTTAGTAGTACTACTGAATTCGAAGAAGTAATGCCACGTTGCAGCACCTGGCTTGTGCATTATGCTCTGCCCTTGAGCCGGTTCTTGATTAGCGGCGTGTTCAGCGACCGTGACTACCAGAACAGCCACCCCTCCACTCAGACTCCGAATAGTTGTGACCTCTCAAGCCGCGCCAAGCCAAGACTATCACAACGTCAACCAAAGCTGCAGTACAGTAGTCTAGGTCGCCTTCGCCACCATCGAGATCTTGTTTCAGACTGCTTCTTTGTCTAAGTTTCTGTAGTACTGTGTAAGCACAGTCTGTCGCACCTCGCCTGCAAGTCCGGGATCCCGAGAGTCGGCCAATTCGGCAAGTAGAGTCCGTGCCAGAGTTCCATCAAAACTTTTCCGCGACTGTCCGGTGCATGGAGCCGCTCGCCTCGGCATTTTGGACAGCATTGGGCGAAGACCCAGGTCGATCTCCGTGCCACACGATGTGAGTGACTCATGATGTGCGTTGCTATGCTCCGAGATCGCCGAGAGGATGGGGGCCAGCTCCTGTCCCCACCTTTGGCGGAGAGCTGTGAAACCTAACGCCGGAGGTTGCCTTCAGGCTGGCCCGTTGCACTCCGACCATCTCCTGAGCTGCAACCTCTCTGTTGGCCTTCCTGGGATTCCATGTGACGGACCTGCAATCCTCTCTGAAGGAGCTTTCCTAGCCTCGCCCCTAACCCAAGTCTCCGGAATCCTGTGAAATTGAAAAAACAAGAAAAGATGCACTTCCCGGGATGCTCTGCACCAGGGGCTTCCGAATTAGCAGCTCCTGCATGCCTGAGCGAAGCTCTTCAACCGTCTGCTCAACTTTGTCGGAAAGCACGATGCTTGACTCAGCAACGCAGCATTTGTGGAACTCGTGCAGACCCGTCATTCACAAGCCAAAGCGTTTGTCGCCTGCTGCATGGACCTTCGCGCACATTGCTGGAGGAGAGCGTTCTTGGATTCTGCCCGGGTCGTTGCTGAAGAGTACTTACCTATTTTCGCGGCTTACCAACAAAGTGTCCATCTCTTCTGTCCGCCAAGCCTCTCACATGCTGACACTTCTTGAAACGGTCCACATTCTGCATGAGCGATCCCTAAACTGCAAAAACGTCACTGTCGCCCCTTTAACTCAGGGCTCTGCCGATCGCATCTGAGCCAATCCATCGACTTTAGACCCCGGAACTTATGACTGTGACGATCAAGCCCACGATGTCCAATCTGAGGGTTTCGATACTGCCTCCATGATTCCGGTCTATGTTCAGGAGCTGAGAGATACAGTACCGGGAGTGACTCGAGAAGACAAAGAGGCCCAAATTGGGCAAAAGAGACTAAGCAGAGTTGATAGAGGTCGTGTGTTATTGCGCACATGCTCGGCAGGGTTCTCAGTCGGCGCGAGCACATAGACTCGCTCGGCCGCGTAAAGATAGAGGCAAGTTCCGTGTTGCTTGAATCCACGGTCGACAATCTAAACATGCGCCGACAACAGATGCCCTTGCTATGGTGCTTGACAGAATCCTGCCGGTCGACGCGCTAAACCTGAGTAAATATACATAACATAAACAGGTCAAGCAACGTGAGTGAACAAACTGCACAATCGTAATGCCGCAAATTTCTGCAACTGCACGTTTAAGCAGCATGGCCTTAAGGGAGGGGGGGAGAGGGAGCGCCCTCCCCAAACTCCCACCTTGTGGTGGGGGGGAGAAGTGAGTGCCTCTGAATCACGCATTTGCATGGTGGCGGCGCGGGGATTGTGAAAGGACCAAATAGTCCTAGACACGATGTGACGAGCTTTCGATCTCTGCCACCGACTACGCACGGCCGAGCAGCATGCGAAGGTACGATACAATCTTTCTGATTACCGGGTGTGCTCCACTTCATTCGAGACTCGCGCCCTCAAAGATACAATTCTTATGTCAACTGGCTCTGTGCAGCCTGTGAGTAGCGTCCCATCTTCCCTGATGGTCTTGTAATCCATAGCTGAGCGGCGCCAGCTTCAGGTTGAGCTCGGAAAGATACCGGTCGTCCCCCACAGCTGCCTCCATTGGATTAAGGAATATACCTTAAATTATAGGGGCCTTAATACTATGATTTAAGGTATATTCCTTAATTAAGGGTATTGGGTCCTGAATGGCTGCTAATGGTATCAGACTCAGGCTGAGGCCGCGCAAAATCGAAGATGTCAGCAGATGCTTCTAACGAGCCGTGGTTTGCTTCGTGTCCTCTGTGCAGGGTGAGAGGGTGGCTGTAGTAAAGTCTTGGAAGAGCTTGCAGACTGCATGCTCCAAGCTTGACGGATGCTGGAGGACTTTCTGAGGTGCCGGTGCAGGGTTCATTTAGTTCATTCAGCATACAGCGCACACACAACTCTGAACCATTCTAAAGACCACCTCTGCCTTATCCACAGGCGTCTCACTGGCGGTGGAGGTTCCATCGCCTGACATAAGCTCGCAAGCTTCGGCTGAAGGAGCTGGCTGGCAAAAGACTGTGCACAGTACACGCCGTTCCAAGATGTTCCAAGACGAACGTGTGGAAAAGAGTCAACAAACCTTCAGCGTCGCGAATGGCTGTGGGGTCCATCTCATCACGCAGCGGCGCCTGCAAAGGATCGAAAGATGTATCTTATTCGAGGTGTGTACTTGGTCTGAATTGTCGGTCGGGCAGCTAATTACGAATTGCAGGACGCCCTTCTTCAACCTGCTCGTGGACTCTTCTAGCCTAGTGCAGCGTGCCGGCGATGTAATTTAAGGCTGGGCCAGAGGAATAGGCTGCGGTGAGAAGGTAGGCTTCAGGAGATTCAGCAGACCGGCCGGTTTGGCATGTCGGCACAACACGTTTGCAAACCTCTCCGCTGAGCACTTGCTCTGTCGGCTGCGTGTGGCACCTCACCTTAACAATGACTAGTGCAGCTTTCGGCGCGTGGAAGCCTTCAATGGCTACTGGAATCACTTCAGAAAGCCACAGACATCGTCAGTCCTCATGGAAAAGCATGTCAATGTGACCCTTCCTCAGGCCTCCGGAAGTTGCGCCAGTGGCATGGCGAGGCTGCCTCCGGAACAAAGGCACATCGCATGCATGCCTTCCCGTTGCCTGAACCCTCTGAGAGCCATCGTGGGCGTGCTTCGATTCGAAGGTGCTCGGAATGCAGGGCCGTGCACCCACGGCAATCAACCGAAGCTGAAGGCAAGTGAAGTTTCGGGCAAGCAGATTGAAAGGGCATGCCTGCTCCACTTGCCGGGGAAAGCGACGAAGAGCTCGAAGAGCTGTCCGTCCTGAAGCAACTGGAAATTCAGTGTCCTACAGGGTCCTAGTCGGCTGATTCTTCAAGGCCGACATGGGCCACGCCCGGCTGCTCGGAGCCGCACCGAGATACTCGGCGAAGTCCGTCCTCTGGATAGGCGGGCCTGTCCCAGGACGTCGAGGCGACTGCAGAAAACAATTCCGGCAGGCTGGACCTCGCGAAATATCTACAGTAGCTTTGACCAATGAGTTTGGTCGATTTCATGCTGCCTGCTGGAACCGCGGCTCACCGCGTTGCTGGCTGTGGACCTAGCGCAGAATTTAAGTTTGATGTAAGTCAGTAAGTCTTCGTGTCAGTGCAGCATCCTGCAGCCATGCAGCCTTGAATTCATCACGGAAGTACAGCACAGAACACCACAAGTACCGGAGCCCTGAGGAGCGTTTGCCTGGCTGGCCTTCCCCCGACTTTGATATTCGATACGACGCTCCCTGCGACCCCCACCGCCCCACTGCAGTAAGACCGAGGCGTTCTAAAGTCCATCTGCCACTCGCTCCAGTGGGCGCGATCCAGGTGCTCCTGCTGCTGAGGCGGTGTCGCTCCATACGCAGCGCCCTCTTACCCGCCCTAGCCGCAGTATGCCAGTGTCGGTCCAGCTGCTCGGCTGTGAGTGGCGATGCGACGTCATCGCGCGAATGGCTCCGAATCGCCTGGCGGGCAGGTCGAACAATCTACTGCTGTAGTCACAGTCGGAACGGAGAAGCGCCAGTGTAAACGGCTCAATGTGGCAACCATAAAGACCTCCAGTCCCTGCAAGGAGGCTATAGCCTTGTGATTGTGATGCCTTTTCCTGATGAAAATGTCCGAGCAAATCTCGGGTTCTCTCGAGTTGTCGACCGTCCCTGCCCATTCGCACCTTCGAGAGTGGTGGCGCGCAAATCGTCGGTGGAAAGCCAGGGCTCTCCGGGTGCCGCGACTCCTCCAGCTTGACACGATGCAGTGAACTCCAGGCTTCTGCCGTGACACGTCCCAGATGCTCGTGGAGGGGCATGCATTGCTTTTGAGGGTGGGCGTGGTGTCTTGCCGTGGCATGACACTCTACAGTCGATTCTACAGCAAAGGCCACATGCCAAAACGTTGCACCTGCCTTGCATCCGTTTTACGTGTCAATCACGCTTGGTGCATGTGAGTGTGTGTGTGTGTGTGCGCGCGCCGCATGCGTACGTGCATGCGCTCTTGACTGGGCATGAACTCAGCTTGCAAGCTGTACATGGTAGCTAGCTGCAGTCTGGCTTTGCGACAATGATTCAAGCTGTGAATGCACAGCGGTGCCTCCGAGTTTGGCGAAGAAGGCGGCAGCGCTCGAATAGGCTTCGAGGGCCTGCATCTGTGAGGTCTCTGGGCTAGTTCGGGCTGCGATGGCCGTGGTCTCAGGGCGAGCTTGCTTAGATTTCTTTTCCTTCAAAAGCAGAAGCACCTGTACACGGACACAACCGAAACTGGCAAAGCGCGAGAGAGGAGACCACCTCCAACCTGAAATCCAGTGACGATGCCCATGACCCGTTCCTATGCTCAGAACAGAAACGCTTCATTTCCACCTTCGGCTGTGCCACGCTGAGGGTGTGTCGGATTGAACGCACTGGACCTGGCACTTGCAAGCGGCACTTCCTGAAGGTCCCTTCCTTGCTGTTACAAAGCTGCTGCATACTGAACCTGCAACTTGGCGCAAATGCTAGTTAGCAAGTTGCAGCCCAGATAGACATAGACCCTACGCCCTAAGCGTCTTAGCCACTCTTCGAAGCAGTCCCTCCCTGAATGCTGCGCCTGTGCAGGTTCCCGCTGGCTTGCGGAGGAGCTCACCGCAGTTGCACTCTGCGGTGCACTCTGAGGGGTGGAACCTGGAGCTCCAAGACCAAGATGCCAAGAGCAAACAGAATAGACCGTGCTTCGTTCCTCGATGTTTCTCGCGATGTTACGCCGTGTCGGTGCGCAAATGCGAATCCAGGTGACATGTGAGTGCCTCATCGATCGGCTGGATGAAGGAGGTTGATTTTGTTGTTTGCTTGTTCCAATTAGACCAGCATTGGCAGAAAGGATCAGTGCGCATGGGACAGGCTGGCCTTACAAGCGCGATTCACACCACAGAATGCCAGAGCCCTCTTGCAAAAGCCCGCAACATGGCCCCTGCCTCGACTCGGGAGCGGTGGCCTCGGGGCAGTGGCAAGGAAACTCTGACCTCTTCTACAAAGGCGTTGCGGCTCCTGGAGCTATCCGAGGATCCAGCAACTGCTTTCCATGACCTCTGCTGGGCCTGCCACAGCAGCAACAGCAGATCCTAAGAGCGACCTTTGGAAGGAAGGGGCAGCCAAGGGTTCTAAGGTAGGAAAGCTGCAACTCGGGATCCAGGAGTTTCAACTTGACACCCAGGCCTTGGCAAGCTCGGTGGCTGTCTCAGCCTTACAGCACTTTCATGACTGGTCTCCGTAGTGCGTGAATCTTGCCGTCTTGCTGTGGGAGATATCACGTAAGCCAGAGACGTAGCTGATTTCAGTGAATAGAGTTGGCATCTTGCCGCACTGTGCGGTTGATCATGTTCAAAACCCCAATCCCATAGCTGAACTCCCAAAATGCAAACAGAAACCCGCCTTCAATACGACATTTTTGCTCAGCTTGGCTTTCCGGTCACCTGATGCCTTCCTAAAAGCTCTCTGCTGGCCCACTACTCTGCTTGTGAGGGTAATTTGGGCCCGCTGGACCCAGCGTGCTTCGTATGCAGCCTAGGGCCTGAAGAGCTCCCCAATCAGAAGCTACGAGTACTTTATATTATACTATACTATACTATACTATACTATACTATATTATATATTATATTATATTATATTATATTATATTGTATTATATTATATTATATTATATTATGTTATATTATATTATATTACTGCATCTACCTCTCAAGGAGCAGGCTGTTGACGCTTCACAGCTGCCATAGCATAGCTGCCGCGAGCCTGGTCGCGAGTCTGAGCATGCTCGAAGGCACATGCCCCCGGATCTAAGGCCACGGAGAGGGAACTCTTGAGCGACATCTCACTTTTCGCATTTATCTGTGGCATTCCTTGTCGTAGGCGCCTTTGGCCGCCAGATTTAAAAAAGTGAAAGCGATATGCTGGTAGACACCAGGCCGAACCACCGGAGTGGCAGGATGATGAGATAGGCCTCGGCACAGGAGCCTACTTCCTCCAACCATTCTGATTTTTCACTGCAAGCTGCTCGTCCCCGGTTCCATAACAACTCGGGATTTCGACGACATACTTCAGATGACGGAGACACCCTGCGCAAGCCATAAGCAGGAAGCTGACTGAAGGAGTCCGGTGATTTACCCCGTCATTCCTCATGACTGACAAGACGCCAGCAGCAGGAAAAGCACCAAATTGCCTGCGTTCCAGATCCTCAGGACAGGCTGCGGCATGGCTGCGTTAATCAGCTGAACGACTGCTAGCAGCCTTCGTTTCACTCAGCTTTCGCCATTTAGCCGCACTAGATTTCCAGATGGGGGCAGTACATGGGTCTATGACGAGGCCTGATTCCTTCTCACTGCCCTCACTTTGCGGCGGCTCGACAGCATAACGAATTCCTGAGCGATGATGATGATGATGATGATGATGATGTGCTTGACGTTGCAGTGCAACAATCCGCTCTGTGAGCAGCTCGAGAGCACTCGATGTGAAGCTGCTATGCTTCTCAATCATGCTTAAATATCCGTCCTTTTCATAGGCCCTCCGGCATACATCGGAAAGTTCGACTTGCCAAGAAGCTCCCTACTATTTCCTAATGCCTGCAGAAGAGGCTCCAGAGCATCCAGGGAAGGTACTTGATGGGCGCTGCGCGGTCATAGATCCGGATGCACGCGGGCTGCGGGGAGGCAAAGCATGCGCTGACCACGGCAAGTGAAAGCTGGAAACTCCTGATAACTGGCAGTACTGCCATGCAACAGTCCTTGACGTCTCGGAAGGCTTCGTAGCAAAGGTTGATGTTCAAATAGCCTGAGAATGGGATGGGTGTCGTCCAATCCGATGGCAGACGAACTCAACTCAACGATGAGGCAATGCTTTCATTCACTGGAAACATGAGTGCCACCGCTCTACTACATACAGTTCTACTTGCTAGGTGGAGAGTATTCCACATGCCGTCAAGCTACAAAGCTCCCCCTTCGACCCCACGACTTCCAGTGGCGTGGTGAAGCGGCAGATGACCTGCAACTGAATCACGACTGTAGCGTGAGGATCTCTCTACTGCTTGGGCCATTTAGAGGGTCTCTGCTCACATCAGGGACACATTGCCAAAGGTGGCGGAGATCTGACAAATCCGAAGTCTGAACAGGCACATGCGAAGATCCAGCGTAAAGTTATATATATATATATATCTATATATCTATATATATATATATATCTACGGTACCTTCAGCCAGTTCCCAGTGCCTGGCAGCATATGGTCTGTGCCAAGGCGACAAGGAAGGCCCGGCCGACTGGAAGGCCTGGAGGAAGTCACAAAACGTCTCAAGCACATTCAAGCATCTCACTGTGGAAAGCTCGTAGAAATCTTGTAACGTCTGGCGGACGGCTACTGCTGCTCAGTCAATCCGACTGTACTCCATTATTCATGTCTGTGGGCGAGCGAAGCTGCAGCACCAAGCTGCAACAAATGACAAACACGTCAAGCCAAAGTTGTAACAACGGTCAAGAGTGATCTAGTTCGACCGAAAATGCAGTCAGTGTGCTTCGGCATTGACATCCCACGAGAATCACCTGAGGCGGCAGGTGCTCTTCAGCAACGTGATGCAACATGCATCAAAGTAACGGTTCCGTAACTAGTCTAACCACCTGAAAAAAATCAATTTGGTCCCTCGTATCATCTCGTATCTCTGAGAGAGTGTTGGTAGCTCTAAGAGATGCTTTTGGAACGGGCTTACTGGACAGTCTACAGTTGCTTGCGATGACGTCGCCGCGTCAGTCCTCTTAAGAAGCTGAGGCAGAGACCAGAGGCTCAAACAGCACGTGGTGCACGCAGGAGATGCGCCGAGACAGCCTCTAGAGCTGATCGGGCGCGTGGACGCTTCAAGGGCACGGAGGGGGATGCTTTTGGGAGACTAGCTCTAGTTTAGGTACCCCCCGAAGTCTTACTGTGGCATCCGAAGAGGCGGTGTACTTGGCCACAGAAGGTAGCCGACCACTTTGAGCGGCAGCTTTCCCAGCAGCAAATAGCCTGAGATTTGAGGTCTTGCGAGAGCCTTTCGGGCCAGGTTGATCTCCTCAACCTAGACTGGAGCTACCTGTGTTTGCATGCACGGGCTCTGCATGGCTGTTCTCCTGGACGAATCCACTGCACACCATAAGCCGAGGATCCAAGAAGGTCGACATACCAGAGGACTTGGTCAATGGCCACCAAAATACCTCCAACACGATGCCAGGTGGCGCACTTTGCTTGGGGTGATTTAATTTGGGTCCGGAAAAACTTCCACCGCAAGTATGCCTCAACCCTCGAATGTAGCACAAAAGAATACCACAAGCGTCGCGAACCGCGATCCATCTACGGGGAGCTGCAAACTCCTGAATCTGAGATACACGGTACAGGCCAAGCAAGAATTTCTGCAAAACATCGACGGACGAAACTCTTCATCACAGATGTTTCGGACATTCTTTCGATGAATCGTCGATTGAGAGTTGCACTCAGTCTTCTAATTCTTGCTACTTCCTCTAGACCAAGTTTCGACTCTCAAGCACCAGCTCCAATCAATCTGCCTTGTCTCTGAACATGTTGCGCCATCTTCTACCCGCCTTGTGCGCACAGCAGGACCGGGCGGTGCAGGAAGATAGCCTCTGCGTGATGCTGATCCCGAGCTTCATTGCAGATGCCGGCTCCAGTACAGATGAAGCACAGCAACTCGAAAATCAACGATGGTTGTGGAATCGTGGATGCTGGCATCTCATGGACCGGTCCGAGCTTTGAATGCTGCGAGCCTACTTGTATTGAATGGGGCACAACCTCCACGTCGCAAGTGCTTTCATTGTTTCTCTCGGAGCTGAGACTTTAAGAGGCAGCGCGGATCATGGCAGATCTACTCACTTGCTCCCAGCCACGAGTGCCGCGGCAGGCATGGCATAGTTGCAGGAAAACATAAGCCTCAGGTTTGGTCTGAGGGCTTGCGGATCACCCAAATCCTACTGCACATTCCCGGAGCAACACAACCGTCAAGCCTGCCTGCAGACCTTGCTTCCCATGTACGTGCATGGGAAAGCAGTGGAGACAGCTATAAAGCTGTAGACCGACAGATTTGCTGGCATGAGCAGCTGGTAAACGTCCTGGGCTACGCTTGCGGTTTCGCAACCTTGGCTCCGCTGACGCTTTCCGAGGGTTGAGTAGTGGTGCACCGGCGAAGTTTAATGAAATCTCTGTGCCCAGGCTGCAAGCACTCAACAATATATTCCGGTACATTATAGTACATTATTGCCGACTGTTATTATATGGTTGTATCTGTGAGATACTTTGGTTGCTAATAAGGCATTTGGCATCCTCCGCCTCTGACTCTGCTCTTCAGCTTCCATCGCTCACAGGTAACCCGTCTTCAGCATCGTGCTGTACAGCCTAGGCAAACACTTCGCAAGTGCTGACAGGCCACGAAGTCGAAGGAGGACCAGCCAGCCTGAGCTGAAATCACTTGCCGCATAGGCCTTCAATGGCCTCTTTATAGGCCTGTGGCTTTGCGGAGTGGGCATGTCTGTGGAATTGACTTTAGGGTAGCAACGGATTGGAGGCGCAGATTTCCAGCTGCACCCGAGTTGTCACTTTAGGCTCCTGGTCTTCGCATCATGCTCAGAAATTTTAGACCTTTCAGCTTCCATGTCCACCTGCTGACCTACATCTGGAGCCACCACCCTACCAAGCGCATAAGGCAAAACATCTACTCAGCACACTTTGAACGAGGAGCTCCAGTACCCCAGAAGTAGCCAGACAGCCCATCTTGACGGCGGCAGCTTGTCGTCGTCCGAGCCAGGAAGGAGGTAGTCCACGACTAAGTGGCTCATCATGCACGTCGCAAATGCAGAGAGTCTTGTTGAAGTTTCGTTTCAGGTGCAAAGCACATCAGTTGCTGAACATCTTTAGAGGAAGGCAACGTTCGTCTTGAAAACGTCAGGCCATAGCATGGAATGTCAAGGGTCGAGCTTGCACTACGTTGCCCTATGTAGCCTGTCAAACAAGCTTCCAAACTGCAACGAAGCCATCTGAGCTCTCCGGCCCCTGCTTCAAAGGCTGCACCCTATTCTCGGCCAAGGTGCGGATGCCCACAGCGGACATTGCAACATACAGGAGGATGCAGCTGACGATGGCATGAGCACTACTTTGGTGCTTGGCCTCGGCAAGCCAGTGAAAGCTATGTCAGCTATGTGCCGAAGTCGAGTGCTCATGCAATCAGAAGCCATTCGAGTATCCAACAATACAATGAGTACCAGTTGATTTCGTAGCATAAGCGATCCGAAGACCCGCTCGCACAGTGCCAAGCGTTCGGCATGCTGCTAATAACCAGGCATGTTGCACAAGATGCACGCAAAAAAACACGGGTGCCAAATACTTCTGAATCGGAACAAGATCCCCCCTAAAACCCTGAACTATACCAATCCGATGCACTAATGCATTCAAGCAGATCATCAGATCGGCGGCTCGACAAACGAGCTGTCTGCTTCATTCGACTCAAGCACTGCTGAGGCATCGGCAGCATCTTTCTCGCCCTTTTCCAGGAAGCGCAACACATCATACATCTCTGCAAAGAACTGGTCTTGTGCTCGCGCGTAGGCCGTAGTTCCGGATGCGTGGATTACTTACGAAGGCTCCGTCCGACATGGCCCGACAAATTCGGCTTCTGGATCTTTCGTAGAAGTACACGATACATACCGTTCTCCCAATAATAGAGCAAAGCGGCTGCAAGCGGCAGTTCTCAGCAAATGCATTGTCCGGTCGCCCAGTGCTCCCAATGCCATGACAACTTCTGTGTCCAACCAGACTGCGCAAGCGTCAGGCCGTAAGAACTTGCCTCCCGCGTCCCACCAGAGCCGCTGCGTGCCGACACCGGCGACGGCAGATTGGTGCCTGCCATGGAAGGATGGAACGATAGAAGGATTGGTGCCGGATGTGCCAGGATAGGGGGCCTCCGGTAGACCGAATAGGGAATTAGCTTCTTGATCAAGCCAGCCGGAGCAACGATGCAGGATTCATGCCGCGTGTGGTACTATAGCAGTGTACCACTGTGCTAGGGATGTTCTTTGACCAGCCTCATCAAGCCTGCTCCTACTGCGATGCATGGATTTGGATTCATGTGGCAGACGAGAGCCTGTCTCGGTCGCACTGCAACAGAAAACTAACATTAAATAGACGGAACTAAAGGGGAAGTACGATTGCGGTTGGAGTGAAATGATGTGCTGGGCCAGCTGCTTGCCGGTGCGGGCGCTGGAGGTCTCGGTACCTGCCCACAAGTGCTTCTGACGTGTGGATGGAGGGAACAGCAGCTAACAGTTTCCTACTGCCTGCCTGCGGGGAGAAGTCCGGCGGAAGGCTGTGGCCACGTGATGCCAGCTCGCGCTTCGGTTCTGCGGCCAAGGACAGGACTGGTGGTTACTGTAGCAAGTCTCCAACAACGATTAGGGCTCACGGTGAGCTGCAGAAAACAATGCCACCATGAAGCTGGAAACGCCTGGAAACCTCAGCCCAAGCTGCTCAAGTGTCCTCGAACTGACTCACAAAAACCCAATCCGGACAAGGCCCTGAGAGCCTTGAGGAGAAGAGGTCTCGCTGGGTGACTCGGCCGGGAGCTCCTGAGGATAGGCCACTACCCCACCAAGGATAAGAGCGTACATACATATACTGTACAAATAAACAAATAAACAAGAATCAATAATAAAGTACATATATATATATATTACGCATGCATATATATATATATATATGTTACTTTGCACTTCCCATCACGAACCATGGGAGAAGGCCCCTGTGGCAGCTTGCAGGATCAAGCTGCATGATTGCTTGTCTTTGGTTGTTGCTGTTTTCTCGGAAATTCGCTCATCATTGCCTCACGACGCAGCGAAAGCACGGCTGCTTGCCTTCATACTTCTTGCTGAGACCCGCTGCTCAACAATGGATACAATTCAATGACGGTGCTGCTGTTGCCTTTGGCCCATACCAATTCATCACAAGCAAAAGTCTCCAGCCCTGACGCCTCAGACCATGACTTTGCTTGCAGGCTACATGTATATGGAACGTTACCACAATGCCAATGATGCCGAGCTCGACTAATAGTAAGCATGCCACCGTGCCGACGTTGTCAGACAGGTAGCCGCGAGACGACAGGTCCTCGTGCAGACGAATTTGTGGCGTTTAGCAATCCAGGAACCTGCCACTACCAGATCCGAAAATCCCAAACATCTAGGCTTGCGACGAAGTGCAATTCCCCAACAGTTCATCGTTTAGCAGTTTCCCGTGAACGTGGCCTTGAGGCACTTCGATCTTTGCTGATGTCATGCCACTGTAGCGGCTAGCGGCTAGCGGTTCAAGGAACACGCGAAGAGGTCTGAGGTCCCACGAATGTTCGCAAGAGGTCGCAGAAGCTCTCCACAGGCTCCATATGAGAAGAACAGCATGCTTGCTCATTCCCAGGCACATTCCCTCTAAGGACCATACCCCGTAGCGGTGGCGATAGCCTTCGAGCTCTCGCCTTTCGCACCGTCGCTCACAAGCACACAGGAGATTCGCAGGAAAGGATTGCACAGGTGCCTAGCTTGATCGGTCTGGTTCCAGCGATACGTACATACGTATATATGTACTTACATACCTACACACATACATACACACACACACAGCCGAACCCATCATGCACATGAACCACGAACGGAAATGGTGATTGACACTCTTCCAAGGCTGGGACGACCACGCATGTAGATCTAGCATCCCCATTCCCCCACATGCACAAACGAGGATGAGTCCAGTGCTTGGCTATAGCGGCTATAGCATCTTTACCGCGGACTCGTGGCCCATAAGACCATGCTCCACCCACTGCATCCCGGCGGCCGGAGATTTGCATTCTCTGACCGGAGCTCTTGCAAGACGCGCTGATGCTCCTCGTACAGATGGAAACGCAACCGTGCAACCGCAACCACAATTTCAACCCATGCATGCAGCCCTCAATGCTCTTGCAGCTGGGGCCGCAACATCCAGCTGCAGGATCGGAGTATTTTGGATGTTCATGGCCTGCTTTTTTCGTGCTCAGCATTGCGGGGCGAGGGGATGGAGGGGAGGGAGGATGGCAGATAAGTTGCCTGTACTTTATACTCAGGCTTTGTTAGGACTTCTAGATGCCCTGAGAAGAACTTGGGCTTGGGCCCCGGATTGCTAACACTCTCAGCTTTGGAACCATGGCAGGGCAAGCCCACACAAACTCCAGTCCAGCTCACCCACGCAGTTCCCGCTTGGCCCTGGTCGACGACGGCCTTCTGCGCATAGTTGAGCGAGTTCACTGACTCCTCTGCGAAAGCCGCAGCGGGCGAGATGCAAGTGACCTGGCCAGGACTTTATAGGGCTTAAGGTCAAGTTTAGTTTAGGGTGCGCGCTGAAGGAGGAAAGTGTCGAAAAATAGTGCAGGTGCAATAGGGTGCATCTGCAAAGTTATGAACTTGACTATTCTGAAGAGTTGGCATCAAGTCGCCTGCACACATCCGAGCAATTTCCTTGTGGCCAATTGCCTTTTCCAACGAGCGTCTACTGCATTGTCTTGCAAACGATTAAGCCAGGCCGGGCAAGGAACCATAAGGCAAAGAGCTGAACCGCCGAAGCTGTCCTTGTCCGATTTGGTCGAGGGCATCAGTGATCCGTACTGTGTTTTTTTTGCGGGCTCGCTTCCAACTGCAGACTGCAGCTGAAATTCCCTATCGGGAGGAGCCAGTGTGTCGGCTGGGGCCAAGAAGAAATAAGCCAACCCGCAACCCTCAACTGTAATGGCTTTGTAAGCTATAGGCTTATTTCGGTGAGGAATCCGGTGAGGAAGCCGCATGACCATGCACCCAGCCCGTACGACTCCTGAAGCAGCTGCGTCAGCTTGGAGTTCCTGTATGGTATATGCCTGGTCCGAGAATGTGGTCTTGCGACGACAAGTGGTGTTCGAGACCAGCACACTACAAAAGGCAGATCATGTAATTACCTATGCACCACCCACACACACAACGCAATACACACCACTCCCACCGACCTACGAGTACGCATAGACAGACAAAGAGATCTTAGGTGCACGAGGCTGCGGAATGGGCCTCTCGGCCTTGCCTTGGGAAAGCTGCGAAATCACCTCAGGGCCCAGCACCGGCAACCCTCGTCTCGTCGTCTCGACATGCTATGAGTCTACGAACAGCAAGTCGTGCAGACTTTCGTTACTGCTGGAATTGCTAGGGACTATCTGGCTCCTCACACTCGCAGTCGGGCCTGTCCGAGGGTAAACAGGGATTTGTTGATCGCCTGCGGAGAGACAGCAACAAGCGCTGGGCCGGTGCAGGGAACGAACACGAGCAGGCACTCGCGCAGGCATCCAAAGGCAGACTTTTTTGCAGATTGTTCGACTCTTTCCGGCTCTTTGGCCTTCAGCCAACGTTGTGGCATGAAATAAATACAACGGGAGGCCAACTGCTGGCGAAGAAGCGCAGGGAAAAGCACTGCAAAGGCAGTGCAGCTTCGAGCAAGCAATTGCTGGTGCACATACAACGTCCTCAGAGCTCAGTTCGTCCTGCCTGCCCTTTGCCTGCCTTCTGGGCAGGCCTTGAGGGGTCCTTCGCAAGACTGATTGCTGGTCACGGAACGCATAAGACTTGCAACCACAGCAGTCCTCCAAGCTGCGCAGGAACCGAGCGACCTCATCAGCCAATCAGGGTTCCGCGAGGGCAGACTTCTGAATAGCCTCCCTTTCGATGCAGACAGACAACCCTGTCGGCCCAACACTTTCCAGTTCTAACTGTCGTTGACCGTGAAAATCACATGAGTGGCAAAATAGAGACAGAGAGGTGTTGCGAGGGAGAGATGTGTGCACGCGTATCTTCGTGCGACTGTCTGTCGATCTCTGTCCCCGCACCTGCCTTCATCGCTCTGTCTGTCTCTGTCGGTCACGATCTCAAGAGCTGGAGCTTGTGCTCTGAGCTGGCGACCGATGTGTGATGGTAGAACTCCGCGTGGTCGGCCTTTGTGGCTGTGGGTTCAGGGCAAGGGCTGACATCCAACATGGAACCTCCATAGCCCACAGATGCTTCGGCACAGAAGTGTCTTGAGTCTAGGATACTGCCCTCGCACTCAGCTTGAGCTCTTGCCAGAGTCCTGCGCTCTCTCTTGCGTGGAAGTTGCGAGCTGTCTTCCTCCAGCGGGGCGAGTCAAATCCACCCTCCACTCCAGGAGCCTTGAGGCGGCGGCGAACGAAGAGCAAAATTCTCAGCCAAAGGCTTTCAGGGTTTAGGGTTTCGTGGTTTAGGGGTTTAGGGTAGGTAACATCTCTCTCTCTCTCTCTCACAGAGAACCTACAGCAAGTTGTCTGGCAACATGCTTGGGAAACTGGGGCCATGATCCGACCAAGCGGCTTCTTCAGCACGGGGAGATGCCCTTTGCTAGCCGCATGGATGGCAGCACTCTCGTAGCCTGGCAATGCGCAGGTCTCCAAAGACAGAAAGGGCGCATCTGGAAGACTTGCTCCCCTCGGAAAGCCGAGTGCAGACAACACGTCACGTGCAACAGCAGAGCTGAGACTCTGTCATCCTGTAGGCACGGCAACCACTCTTCGTCTCAGGATCGGCTGCATACCGTGACAGGACAAGGGGAGAGCAAAGAGGAGGCATCAAGTGCCCCCACACACACACACACACACCCACACCCCCACACCCGGACAATCCTCGCCAAAGCGGAACAAAGCCCGTGCCTTTCGCTGACTTTGGCGAAAAGCGGCGTAGGAGGGCTTCCAGCCTCTGCATGGGGGATCTGCCGCATCTTGCAGACTGAGACCTCCTGGCATCCTCAAAGGTTCTCAGAGAGGTTCCAGTGCCGATGCGAAAGCTTCGTGACCGGATCACAGCACTCCCAAAGCGCCAAGATGCAAGGCAGGGTAGCCACCGTCTGCTGCAGAGCCGAAAGGGGCCAGGCCCCGCCTTACCAAAGACAAGGCCTTTGCCTATGCATTGCAAAGAGCTAGGACGCCGCTAAGTGCAGTACCGCGTACGAGATAGCACAAACGTTAGACTAGTTGCCGTTTCGATCCGCTTCGCCCGTGCATTGACACGGTCGTGCACGGGAAGCTCTGCCAAGATTACCGAATGTGGCAGTTGCTGAGTCCAAACCTTTATGTGCGACTCAGCTGGTCAGCGATTGTCACGTGTACAGGGTAGAGTTGCTCTTAAAGACTCTGAAGCTGCTTGGGTTCTTTGAAGATAGAGAAGGTCGCTTGGTTGCCGATAGCATCTTTTGCAAGAACGTCCAGCTGGAAGCGGCAAATGGAACTGGCTCTTGGTGTTGATGCGGCAACCGAGGCTTCATAGTCGTATAACCCTAAATGATTGAGGGAAGCTCACGATCCTGTCATCTGTGATTTGCAGCCTTGCTGTCAGGCCATTCGGTGTAGACAGCGCAAAATGCCAACATGTCACAAACGTGTTGGGTTCCCTGTCTTCGTGCGACACATCACCGCCAGCCGCTTTGTATGGACCATATGGACCCAGATCTAACCCTCCAAGCGACATCCACAGCTTTCCAAGCAAGCTGCTCGTCGAGCGTCTTTAAGGACGCACGCTTCTGGATCCTGGGACGTATCAGCTTTGGAGAAGAGCACGAACTAAGCATGCAGCAGCGGGGAAAGCACGTTCGGTTCGGTGTCGTCAGCTTCACGCTTGAACACAAAGGACCTGTTGCAACCTCGTGACAGCAGGTCGACCACTGGACCTGCATCATTGTAGGCTGCATGATGCAATGGCTGCTTGCCCGTCGCATCTCGCCTCCAGAAGGATGGAAGTCAAGTCCAAAGCAACCCACCAAGATCGGAAGCAGACCTATGCAGACTACACTGGTTATACATGTTACAACTTCGCAATCTAGAAGACTGGAGGGTCCGGGTCCTTGCTTCCAGACTTTCATCCCATGGGGTAGACTCTGCAGGTTGATGCCCGGGCCGAGCGACGTGCGAACGTCGGCCCGGCGCTCCAGGAGCAGCTGCCTTCAGCTGCTCTTCGTGAAGTGCTGGTCCCTTAAGGCTTAAGGCACTTTCTCTGGGAGGTCTGCCTGGGGCACCGGCGCAACCTCCAGCTGACCGTTCCTCGGAGCACTGCTTCTGTTCGCGCGACATGGTCTTAAGTCTTAAGCCCGGCCTGAAACCTAAGCGAACCCGTCAAAGCCGTTTTGGGTGCTGGGTGCTTGCCACGATGCTCAGCTGCGTTGTGCAGCGGCGGCTTACCATCCTAGCGAAAAGAAACTGCACATTGAGCCAACCAATCCACGCCAGGCTGCAGCACAGCACCTTCACTCTCGCGTTTTATGGCAGAGAAGGGGAAGCTGCAATGCCAAGCCTCCAGAGGTGCTTGCAAATCCGCTCGCCTTAGCTTCTGAGCCGGCATATTTCTTGCTGCTGGCAGGTACTTGGAGCATTGGATGATGTTTGCCCCTGTCCGTGACGACTATACTATTGCTCCTGCAAAGAGTCCACTGCAACATGGCTTCAGCGCCTCACCGCTACACGACACGCCAGCATCGTCTACTGAGCCGCACCGGACGACGGTGAACAGCTGCCACAGCACAGATTCTTGCTTGGGACAAGTGTCATATCTGCGAGGAGCGCCACCATAGACGCGTAGCCATACCTTTTGCATGACTGCACAAGGCAGTCAATGCTGCGAACAAAGTGCGGAAGAGGCCTTTGCAGCTGAAGTTGACGAGAACAGGACCGAACGAAACTCTCGAGACTTGGAATGCTTCTGGGTTGTTCGTGGTTAGATTCCAAATGCCTCTCTCAAAACTCTTTCAAGTCGGAGAATACTTCTTAAACGTGCAAGCGGCAGAAATGACACTTTACCTGACCTCGCAATAACTCTTAGTTTCTAGTACGGGGTACTACTCGTTAATGATCTGTGTGCGTCCGCGAAGGACGGCCCTCGTTTACGAAGGCTGGAACCCACATCAATGCGAGAGGGAGGGAAGGGTGTAGTGAACATGAGAAGGTGTAACTCTCAAGGCACTGGCGGTACTGCCGCAGGTCGAGAGGCTCGGTTGCATGGCTCAGCCCCTTGTGAAGCTGCGCAGGCGAAAGCTGCCGCTTCTGTGCCTAAGTTTTTGACTCACCCGGTCACAGAACCAGTGTCATTTTACTAGGCCGATATCTGGCATTTGCAGCTGTTTCAAAACACGTGGAAAATTGCGTTGTGGATGACAATCCTCAGAGCTGCAGCGATAGTCTGCCTGTGCCAGAGTGCCAAGAATTCCTTCGCGAGACCTGTTTGTCCGCGATGCACCGCACGGTCCTGGACTGCACAATAAGTTTCTCGTTTGGGCACAAGATAGCAGTTTACGGAAGCGCAAGTTGTGTAGACGTGCGAATGGTGGTGTGTCCTATGCTACGACACCATACGTATGCAAGATATGTGAGGTCCGCTGGCCTCTAAACCCCCTCTCGCTGAAAGCGTGCAGCGGGACACTCCCCAACACTCCTCTCCCGATGTCCCGGAAAAGCCCGTGTCGCATTTGAGGTGGACATTGAAACTATTCCTTCTACTTAGTTGCAGTGTCTTCTGCGTCGAATTTCCGCATGAAGCTGGGCCATACAGACGAATGATTTCCCGGACAGAAGGAACCATCATTGGTGATTCTTGCGATGAACGGGGAAAGGGGGCAAATCCATAAACGTGCAGCACAGTTTTGAAAAGCTGTGTTTGCACCACAATTTCTGGCACCGGGCTAGGCAGGAAACGAATTTTTCCAACTTCAGCAGATCATGCGCTGACCCCGCGCTGAAACGGGATGTCAGGTCGCCAGCAGGACAGCCAACCAGCTAAATGAGTTTTTGGACAGAAGCACAACTCATTCACGATTGTTGGGATACACCGGGAGAGCTGCCTACCTGCCTACCCACCTACTTACCTACGTACCTACCTGCCTGCCTTCTTGCCTACCGACTTCAGAGCACTAATACTACTAATGCCAATATCAGTACCAGGGCCCAAGGTGCCAAGATTGCCTATTCTACACAATCGAGATCACTGGCCATGGGTCATTGCTGAATCTTAGCATGCTTTGGATCCGAAGCCTTGCGGAATGCGGGTGCCGATTTCACAGCGTTAACGCGATTTGGGCCTGTTCCAAATGTTCGCGATTTCGGTAACTAACCTGCAGGGCATTTGTTGTGCACAAGCAAATCCGAACTTGTGCTTCCCATTCCCGGCTCACACTTCGTCGTCGCTGTACCAAGGGTTACCAAAAATTGGAGAAGCTGCATGCTAGCAGAG